AATTTCGCGGGCTTCGTCTCAACGACTGTAACGTCAAACACGAAGGCGCCACCTACTGGTGGTCGCAAGCACTACGGCTTTCGTTACAGAGAAAATGAGTACTTGGTTGAGTACCGGCATGGTTGCGTTCCGGGACTACACTCCGGGTGCGGCTTCCGCAGAGTGGGCGAGGAGAGTAGCATATTCGGCCTAATTATCATTATAACTTTATTAATATACTAGCGGTCCGCCCTCGCTTCGCTTCGGTGTAGAGCTGAAGTGTAGACTACAGTTTTTGTTCTCAGGCTTATATTATACACAATGACATTCATCTATGATTCTTCTTATACCTGCATGCAGTCTCAGCCCGATCGGTTTAAAATTGACAAAGTTTCATACAAACTTTCATTCCCTATTTTATCCCCTTGGGGGTAGAATTGATCAAAATCCTTTCTTAGCGGATGCCTACGTCATAACATCTACCTGCATGTCAAATTTCAGCCCGATCCGTCCAGTGGATTGGGCTGTGCGTTGATAGATCACTATGTTAGTCAGTCACCTTTGACTTTTAAATCTTAATTTATATAAATCTCATGTCACAATGTTTGTCCTCAATGGAATCCTAAACCACTGAACCGATTATAATAAAATTCGCACACCATGTGCAGTTCGATCCAACTTGAGAGATAGGATAGTTTAAATCTCAAATTATAGTCGCAATTTTAATTTATTGCAAATTATTACTTTTGGGCGGTACGAAGTTCGCCGAGTCAGCTAGTACATATATAGATAAAAACGGTCATTTTTATTACTCGTATTTATAATCAAACTAAAATTCTCATATTTCCGTTTTCCAGTACTCATTTTCTACACGTTTTACATGATTTATTTGCTAATTTTGTTTACAAATGTTTGGTTTTTATTCTAAGATAAGCACGGTTTCTTAATATCAATTATTGTCTGTCAATAAGGTCGAATGCTCTGAACGCATCAACAGCCAAATATTGAATGAAGCTCGCTTTTTTTTTTTTTTGTGTCCTCCCAGGCGGGCGCGCGGGTGTGAAATCCTCATGGATACCCTACAGCCGGCTGTAGGGTTATGTCAGACTCTTACTGACTAAAACACACCCGTGGGGGATGCCTATGGCCTTAGGGGCCATACAGGCTTCATCTGATACGATCAACCCCTGAAAAGGGGATGATGCAGTGCTGCCTTAGTAAATACTACTGCATAGTGCGCTTAGAGGACGGATGCACTCTGATGTGCACTCGTATCGGTTTAGGACAGAGCGACTGAAGGTCTCTCAGGATCGGGGGGGCGGGGAAGCTCGCTTTCGGACCTCCCGCCTTTTTATACCCTACCGCCGCCGCGACCCGTGTCGAGCGCGGCAACCGTTACACAAAAATAATCCTTATAGCATGATTCAGTATTCACGTGCGACCGACGGCGCGATGGCTTATTTCATGTATAAGTTTGGTGTATCTATACCGATTTCTATGATTCTCTTTTTATTGAATAGGTAATAATGTTAACTTTTTTAAATTAGGGATGAGTGAGATAAGAGTATTATAAACGTAAGAGTAAACAAATATAATCAGAATGCTCCGAACTGCTAAGCTATCAGGAGTTACACGTGTTATTGTGAGTCAACCATAAAAGATAGACATATGCTGTTGCGGGATATTTTTTAGACAATTTTATGTAGAATATTTCCGTCATACATGATTTCTATGTAACTTTAACCATTAAGGCTGCACACGCGACGGAAGCTTATAAAATGGAGTAACTTCTCCCGTTTTCCCAACATTTCCCTTCACTACTCTGCTCCTATTGATTGTAGCGTGATGAAAAGTATACTATAACCTGCCCAGGAGTATGAAGAATAATTGTACCAAGTTTCGTTAAAATCCGTCGAGTAGTTTTTGTTTCTATAAGGAACATACACACAGACAGACAGACAGACAAAAATTTTACTGATTGCATTTTTGGCATCAGTATCGATCACTAATCACCCCCTGATAGTTATTTTGAAAATATATTTCATGTACAGAATTGACCTCTCTACAGATTTATTATAAGTATCGATTATGCTAATATAATTTAATTATTTATGTTACATAGTTTAAGTATTTTAATATTTATATATTTTTGCATTGAACTTCCTTTTTTATATACCATTTTATAAATTTATATAATTTTAATGTTTTATACCTCTGGCATCCTTGGACAGGCCCTGCCAGAATACCAGCGCTGTTATGGTGGGCATATTCGTTCCCACGAAAGCAGCATTAAGCTGAGGCAGGGTCCTGATTGGCCATTCTTCTTTCTCTTTTGTATTTCTCTGTATTGTTTAATGTTATTGTTTTTTCTTGCTCATTGTTTTTTTTTCTACATATTGGCCAATAAATGCTTTTTCTTGCTTTCTACTTCAAACATGGTCAACGCAATACAATTTTCGATCTTCTGCATCCTCGATTCGCTTCCGAGGTAGAAGAAACCTGGTCCTCAGCACTGACAAGGCAACCACAAACAACTACAGCGAGTAACCCACAGGCGCACACCAGATCTTAGATTAAAACAAAAAGGGTAGATACGGCACTAGCCTTACAAAAGTGATCCGCATAAATTCTGGTCCACAACCCTAATCGCTGTAGTCACAACTTGACATGTGAATGCCAAAAAGAAATATTGCTAATATTTTGTGTTTATATGATAAAACAATGCCGAAGTGTGTTTTTAAAAAGTGCTTAAATTGCTCAAGAACTAAAAATAAAACCCACGGCATCACTTTTCATTCGTAAGTACTATAAAATATATTATTTCATAAAAATTGCTGTTGGTTTTGAATCTTATTCGGTAGTGACGTCGAGTACTGGTCGCGTGGTTGGTCGGTAGTGCAGTGACGCGGATCTCGCCGTCTCGTTCGCGCTACCGTTGAAACTTAACGTGCTGTTTCGTCCGGGTCGGTAATGCAGTGCCGCGGATCTCGCCGTCCCGTTAAAACTTAAAGTGCTGTTTTGTTTGTTCGATTGTATCTTTACAAACAGGTGGATGGTGTGAGTGTTGCATATGTAGTAAAGTGGGATCAGTTTTTGTTTGATGAAAGTATGAGCGTGCCGTGTACCCTTTTTGTTTTATTCTAAGCACCAGATTCCTACAGTTTCACACATTTCGTCACCTGGTGCTGCCGACGTCCACCAAGCCTACTCAGCTCAAGGTACGTGGTGCTTTATTCACTGTTGGATACCGTTATTGCAAAATTATGATTCTCGGTCGTTAGCGACAAAACTCGGGGTTACTTCCTAATGAAGTAATCCACCCTGGATGTCTGGGACAGTCACCTACCTTCCCTCGGTCTCGCACAGTCGGTATTGGTGCCATGTCAACAATATACCAGGGCTAGCCGGCACGTTAGTTCTTTAAATTTGGCGAATAGAAAGTATGCAACTTGTCTAATCAAACTTTTATAAGAGTGGTGGTGTGTCTTGAATGTTAGGTTTAGAATTGTGGTGGATTAGTGCAAACGGGCGTAAGAGAATCATTAGCATTTTATTAAAGTAGTTTTGCGCAATTGCTTCCACGTATATTGATTTTTGGGAGTCCATGATATCTCGCTACTGTTGCAATTGCCATGATCACAGATCCGTGATCAAGCAATTCTGTCAATGACCGTGAAAGCGTAAAATAATATAATTAGCAGAAAACATACAGAAGTTTGATCCCATAGTGCCTAATGACGAAAGTCTTCAATCAGTGAGTCCTACTTGTGATGACATACGGAGCCGAAACGTGGACACTGATGGTACGGCTGGTCCACAGGTTCAAAGTCGCTCAGCGCGTTATGGAAAGGGCTATGCTTGGCGTTACTCTGAAGGATCTCATCAGAAATGGGTAATCCGACAGAGAACCAGAGTTATCGACAAAGCCCACCAGATTAGCAAGTTGAAGTGGCAGTGGGCTGACCATATTTGCCGAAGAACCGATAACCGTTGGGGTAGACGAGTTCTGGAGTGGAGACCGCGTCTGAACAAACGTAGCGTAGGACGCTTCGCGTTTAAGCACCATGCGTTACGCGAATTCCTTGTGTACCAGAAAGATCTGGATCAAACTTCCCTTAGCGGTTTTGCCTCTTAGCCATGACATGATGGTCTTCAAAAGGCGAGTAAACCTTCTCCTTCAGAGCCGGAAACGCATGAGGTACCCTTGGTGCTGCAAGTATCCATGGGCGGTAGTGACCACTTACCATCAGGAGGACTGTCAGCTCGTTTACCTGCATAAACATATAAAAAATAAAGTACTTACTCCTGGAAGAGCAACCTCTGCCCATAGTAACGCTGCTACGTATAGAACATGCTAGCTTTCAGGTAGGTCGCGATGTCTACCGCCAACCCTTGAGACCCATCTTCCGAGCTGATCTTCCAGTCTCCATCCACAAGGATTTTAAACTTAGCTTTTACAAAGGCAAGTAATAAATGGCACTTAACTAAAACCATCGTTCTTACCTAAGGGTGCTATAAGTGTCTCGGATGCCAGGGTCTGAAGCGTAATGGGTTGATGCAAACGGGCATGAAACCAGCAGGCCAATTATGCTCGCTAATTGTGATATTGTTTTGATGTCAATTTCACATTACGTATTATGCTCTCCGAAAAATGCGATAGCAAAATGACATCAACTAGACATCAACTTATGCTTATTATGATCAACTCTTTAAAATGATATCAACTTAAATGCGTATGACGTTCAACATTTTGACTTAAAACAGTATCGCATAAACGTCAAAAATGCGATACAGGATATGACATTGATATGATCTTGATGTGACATAGGAATGTTTCATAATACCACTTAAAAACAATGTCAACTTGGCATCAACATCACATTAGGACTATATCACTAAAGCATAATTGACCCGCTGGTTTATGTTGAGTTCCCGATATTTCAGCAATGTTGCAAGACCACAAAATAATCCGTGATCAAGAAATCCTGGACTGTAATGGTGAACAAACAAACTTAACTTACTCTGGGAAGGGCAAGCTTTGCCCATAGTACCGCTGCTCCGTATAGAACAAGCTTGCTCTGAGATTTCTAGCGATGTCAACCGCCAATCCTTGAGCCGCATCTTCTGAGCTGATCTCCCAGTCTCCCCCGACCAGGATCACCACGTTCTCATTATCGGATGATAAGGGGTTGTAGAAGAATCGCTGGTGACCAAAACTTATTTAGTAACTATATTTTTTAATTTTTAAGGATTTAACTGCTACTTAGATGTTTAAATCTAATGAAAAATATACTAGGAAAAATTCCACGCGGTCCAGCAGATGGAACTCGAACCCGCACTAAAGGCGAAGAGTATATTATTTCTACAGTCCACTACAGAATGTATATATATGGTACGTTACTTGAGCGAGATAATAGCCGATAATTAGTCGCTTCCTTGCCGGCAGTGAGACAAGTGCCTAATGGCAGTTGACCTATTATTTAATTGATTATCATTTATTCAAGAACTCATGATCTTCGAAAACCTACGCCACCTGGTCGTAAATCCACAAACGCAAGAAACTCCATAAAGGGCTGCTTCTATCTCCCTCTATTATTTTGTACAGTGTTGTCAAGGTAGTTACATTCAACATCAGGTATCTAACTTAAATGAGAAAATAGAGAAAGAAGAAAGAGAAAAGAGATAGGAAGAGCTAAATGCATAACTATAAGACTTTAAGCATAAGGTCACCCAAGCAGTGAGTTGGCTCGGAACAAAGCGTACTTTCTGTCACGCCTATATATGTTGGCTAGGCGAAGGTCAATACCAATGAGGCAGCATCAAAGAACATAGAAAGAGGTTAAAAGGGTGATCATAAATCGTTTTTACGGTAACCGTAACCGATGTCGCCGGCTAGCCCCCACTACGTTTCCACCTAACAGATAATAGCCAATCAAACGACGCGACAACAAACAATCGAACCATTCAGCGCTCACACACCAGAGCAACGACGCAATTAGAACCAAGTTTTGGTCAAGTTATGAGGAGGAGCTCGATGGCGCAAGTGGTTAGCGCGTTCGGTTGCGATCGTTGAACTTAAGCAACTTTCGCAGTGGTCGGTCATTGGATGGGTGACCAAAAACTACTATCTCGAGCTCCTCCGTGCTTCGGAAGGCACGTTAAGCCGTTGGTCCCGGCTGCATCTGCAGTCGTTAGCACCCACCAATCCGCACTGGGCCCGCGTGGTGGGTCATGGCCCAAACTCCCTATTCCATCCATAGGGAAGGCCTGTGTCCCAGCAGTGGGAACATTAATAGGCTGATGATGATGATGAGGAACTGTGGCGCGCCTACCCCGCCCTTCTTAATTCTTTCTGTGTTCTGTGGGCAGCATATTTGTCTTGCCTTATCATCGCTAGGTATCGCTTGCCTAATTTGCCTAGTAAAAGGGAAGCGACAACGTGTATAGATCTCATTTGGCGTCGCTCGCCAACATTAATCTCACGTCGTCCATAATAACTGATAGCGCACCAGCGCATGGGCAGCTCCACAAAGCTCGTTTACATTGGCCACTTGCATTAGTAGTTTTTTTTTTATGTTATAGGGGGCATACGAGCATACGGCTCACCTGATGGTAAGTGATTACCGTCGCCCATGAACACTTGCAACACCAGGAGTATCACAAATGCGATGTAGTACGCGAGGAGAACGCTCTTTTTTTTGAAGGTTTTTGGGTCGTATTGGTCCGGAAACACTGCTGGCGACAATATATTCCACAGTTTTGTCGTACGTGGTAAAAAATTTCGACAAAAACGAACGGTTGTGGATAGCCACGCATCAAGATGATGGGGATAAAATTTTTGTCGCGATGTACGATGGCGAAATGCAGCAGCTGGAATTATACCGAACAATTCCTCAGAACACTCCCCGTGATAAATGCGATAGAAGATGCAGAGCGAAGCTACATCCCTACACAAAGCCAAAGGATCAAGCTGATCGGAAAGGTCCTGGTAGTCGACGATTCGAGCCGCTCGGCGCTGGATGCGATCTAAAGGGAGAAGCTGGTACTGGGGTGCCCCCGCCCAAAGATGAGAGCAGTACTCCATGTGAGGCCGAACCTGTGTATTATAGTAGTAGAGGACGCATACCACGCTCTGTGGGAGTGTAAGCTCTACGGGGAGGCGCGTAGGGAACTTCTGGACAGTGTGAAGGTGCTCGAGGTTGGGCCGGTCTACTATCGCAACCTTGTGGGATCGGAGGCGAACTTCAGGCGGCTGCGGGATTTCGCGCGTAGATGGCACAAGATTCGGAGTGGACTCGAGAGGTGAAGAAAGAAGACCCGAGGCGAAGAAGGAAGAGGACCATTCAATTTGGAGCCAGCGGTACCACTTCAGAGTGGGCACGGGACGGCTGGGATGGCGACGAAGGCGTTTCGTGTTCGTCCGCCCCAGAAAGGGGAGAGGGACCATAGGGACAAAGGAGACAGATAAAGAATAATTTGTAGGGAGTCAAGAAAGTACGCGCAGTGGAGGCCATTCCGCGCGTATTTCCCGTTGCTTCGGCCTGCATAACCAAGAAGGTTCGTCAGGCCATGGGTGGTTGGTGGAATTTGGCCATTTGGTCTTCTTCAAAGTTGCCCAACGTCTAGTCTAGGTAGCACTTGCCTTGTATCAGTTTGCTCACGCTCGCGTTGGGTTAGAGTGTACTCCGTAATATATACCAGTATACTGGCCAGTGTTAATGACGTCATGTCATGAATCGAAGCTATTCTGGTGAATTGTTCCGAAATATAGTGGCCAGTACACTGACGTCATAAATCGACGAAATATTAAAAATAGTGCAATTAAAGAAGATTTTTTATTCACCTCATCAATTAAAAGGAATTCTTTTTGTTCGGATGCCATTATTGTTCTTTAAATAAAAAAGAAATAAAATTCCAATGTCATATTCATTTTCCCCGGTAAAAATATGGTAAGTAATACCAGTACGATATGGCGTCGGATTCGTGACGTCATTACCACTGGCCAGTATACTGATGTATATTTCGGAATACACTCTTAAGCTCGGCCAACTATGTATTGGCGACGTTATAGGCATTCTCGAGCATATTTTAATTGCAAGCAGATTTTCATTCGTGACTATTGTAAGTTGAGATCCTTCTGGCTACTTTCTATTTTGTGCATGAGATTAAGTAATTTGGATTTTACTTACCATAGGAAAAGTGTCATTATTGGATGCCATCATTTGGTTCAGTCTGACGTTCAGCCATCTCTCCTCTGGGACTGTGTTGGAGTTTTTGGGTGCTGTGAAAGCGAGAACTGGTGCGAGGAGCAGCGGAAACCACCCTACAAGAGAGAGATATATTAAATAAATAAATAATAATATAATCTAGTGAACCAAATGTTCACCAAAAAAAAAAGAAAAATGTATTTAATTAATTGAGAACTTCGGAGATTTTGTGTGGTTTCGTTTGAAATTCGTGATTTCTCGAAAACCGGAAGTGCTACGTTACTCAAATCCGGTTTGTAGTCTTATCAGACTATTCTTAACTTATAACTTAAATATTCTCTTTATCTATCTCTTACGGTTTGGCCGCTGAAACAGCACCACAGACAGACAGACGGACGGACTTGTCTAATAGATAAGAGATTATTTTATTAGAGGAAAGGTTTGTATGTAAGTATGTTTGTAACGAATTGGCTTAAAAAGTACTAGACCGATTTTAAAAATTCTTCCACCATTTCAATGCTACATTATCACTTATGTATTTTATATGTATTTTAAAAAAAGTTAGGGTTCCGTATGAAAACTTCGATAATGTAACCCAACGTGTGTAAAAAATACCAAAAAAAATAGCCTTATATCGCGTACGCTGCGGAAGTCATTGATATCAGACAAAAGATAATTCTTCTTGCACATTAAATAATAATGTAAATAAAAATAATTGTTTTGTTAATATAGATAAAAAAAACCCATCCAAAAACATTGCAAAAAATGTAAGTTTTATCATCCTGGTGCATCTTAATATTCAAGGAATGATGGGTAAGGACTTAGAAATTGAATTATTCATGAATTGTAATAATATAGATATTTTTTGTATTACAGAACACTGGCTTAAAAGTTGTCAGAATATATTTAATTTCAATAATCATCAGGTTGGTAGTTTGTTCAATCGAGAAAATGCAATTCGCGGTGGCTCTTTAATATTATTGATTAAAAAATTAAAATTTAAGGAACGAAGAGATATTGTGAGCCTCTCGGTTGAGCGAACAATAGAAATTGCCTGTGTGGAACTGGACCGGCTTGTTGTATTGAGCGTATACAGACCTCCATCAGCATTGTATGATTGTTTTGAAGCTATCATGGATGAAGCTCTTAAGAAAACTTACACTACAGGCAAACGGTTGATTGTCTGTGGTGACTTCAATATTGATTTATTACAAAAATCTAGTTCGAGTACTAAAATAAAAAATTTATTTCAATCATACAATCTGAAAAACTTATTCATTGAGCCTACTAGAATAGCTACCACTTCGGCCACTTGTATTGATAATATATATACAGATATCATACCACAGAAAAAACAAATTATTAATAAACTAGATAGTGATCATTGTGGCCAGTTGATTACATTTCCGTATCAGCTCAAGCAGGTGACAAAAAAACACATCACTGTTGTACCAAAATCTGCTAATCGTGTGGAACGTTTTAAAACTCAATTAGATAGAAAAATGTGTTATCTAAAATATAAAGACAGTCCAAATGATTTATACTGCACTGAATTTAATAATGTTTTTGTACCCAAAAAAATCTGTGTTAATGATGCGGTAACTTTTACTAAGTGGGCTACGCCTGGAATTCATAAAAGTAGAAGGACACTTTATGAACTTTATAATGAAAGAAACTGTAACACTAGTGAAAAATTTAAAGAGCATGTTCGTAACTATTCTAAATTGTTTAAAAAAGTATGCCGCTTAGCAAAATCAAATTACTTAAGTTCAAAGATTAAGAACAGTAATGACAAAATTAAAACGACATGGAATATTATAAGCGATGAAACTGGAAAATCCAAAACTCGCAATAATAATTATAGCTTAAATATTGATAATAAAAGGGTTACTTCAGATATTGAAGTTGCTACAGCTTTCGAAAATTTCTTTACTGATATTCCAGTTTCAACTACTAAATCTTTGAACTCTTCCCCCATTGCTGCCGAATCAATCTTAAGAGAAAACGTGAAACCTTGTACTAGTCATTTTCATTTTAAACATGTTGACTTCAAAGATGTAATTAAAACGTTTCACCAATTAAATAAAAAGAAAACCACGGATCTGTGGGGCAATTCCGTTGATGTTTCTACATCGGTAATTGAGACAATAGCTCCTATTCTAGCTTGCATATTTAATGATTGTGTTGACTGTGGTGTTTTTCCTGACCTCATGAAATACAGTAAAATAACTCCTTTGCATAAAACGGGAAGTACATCAGACCCCACAAACTTTAGACCAATTTCTGTGCTACCCACCTTTAGTAAAATTTTCGAAAAAATCATGTTAGATCAAATGCAATCACATTTTAATAAATATAATATACTTCACTGTAAACAATTTGGTTTTACACGGGGTCGTTCAACAACCGATGCCGGTGTTGAACTTATACAACAAATTTTTGACGCCTGGGAGAACTCGCGGGACGCTCTAGGTGTGTTTTGCGACTTGTCCAAGGCTTTTGATTGCGTTTTTCATGAAACATTACTCAGGAAACTCCACCACTATGGATTTAGAGATACTGATCTGGATCTTATTGCGTCATACCTGATGGATAGGATTCAGAGGGTTGACATTAACGGCAATAAGTCTGCGGGTTCGCCGGTTAAAATGGGTGTTCCGCAGGGCTCAATCCTTGGTCCTTTCTTATTTTTAATTTATATTAATGACTTACCTTACTACGTTAGAGATAAGCATGAGATAGTATTGTTCGCGGATGATACATCACTTTTATTTAAACTTAAACGTAAGGAAACAGTTGTATCTCTAAGGTAGTCCACTGGTTTAATGTTAATAATTTATTACTAAATGAAGGAAAAACGAAATGTATTAAATTTGTATTACCTAATGTAAAACAGGTAAAAACCAGTGTGAATGTAAAGGATAGGAATATGGGCCTTGTAGACACCACAGTATTCTTAGGGATTACATTAGATTCTAAGCTTCAATGGGGCCCACATATTGATAAATTGTCAAATAGACTTAGTTCTGCAGCATATGCCGTAATGAAGATACGCCAGTTAACGGATGCAGATACGGCCAGATTAGTATACTTTAGTTATTTCCATAGTGTAATGTCGTACGGAATTTTATTGTGGGGAAACGCCGCCGACATTAAAACTATTTTTGTGCTGCAGAAGAGAGCTATTCGATCAATTTATAATCTTAAAGTTAAGGATTCCTTAAGAGATAGGTTTAAAGAATTTGGTATAATGACGGTCGCATCACAATACATTTACGAAAATTTATTACTTGTAAGAAAAAATATTAATTTGTTTCTTAAAAACAGTGATGTTCACACACTTAATACAAGAAACAAAAATAAACTAACTTTACCTGCTACTAGGCTTCACAAAATCAATAATTCATTTAAAGGTCTTTGTGTTCGCTTATACAATAAAGTCCCAAGCAATATCCAAGAGTTAAGCATAAATAAATTCAAAGATAGTATAAAAAAAGCACTTATTAAAAAAGCTTATTACAAAGTGTCTGATTATATTACAGACAAAAATGCTTGGGTTTGAACTGTTCCAATCATTCCAACAGGTTTTCTATATTAAATAAATCATGATTGTATTGACGTTGTAACAACATAATGATTTGTAAATGTTGTTACATTATGCTTTTAATGTTGTGGAGTTTTTTTCGCTCGTTTTTCTCCGCAGCTAAAAAATATGTCCAATAACGAGTGGTAGGGAAAAAAAATGTTTGGACGATTCAAAAGTGTTGTACTATACATCCAATTTGAATAAAGATATATTGATTTCTGATTTCTGATTTCTGATAATAGAGCAAAGTGATGTACTAAAGTTTTATAGAGGATACCAATATCTACAAAAAAGTCCCCGATACCATGTGTCTAACTATTACAGTTATGTCACCACTAGAGGTCCCCTGCTGTTTTACCCGTGTTAATGTGAAGAAGATGGTTTCGACGGCCCCCGCGAATAATCCGGTAATCGTAAAAGTGTAAATGTTCAGGAAAAATAAAAAACCATTTTTACTTAATAACTACATTAAACAACAAGTATGAGAGACTTTTTATATCGCATATGGAAGCTAATTTTTTCAGCTATCTGGTTATTTCAACAAAATTTAAGTAGTCCCAAGGGCTTCGTTATAATTTAGCTGGATGCATTTTACTATATTAGTGTAGGTCAATCTGTAGTCAGTAATGACACTTACGATATTGTTCGTGTAAATTTATATTTTCGATGGCCGCAGTAAAATCGTGTTGCGCTATTATTCGTGTAATTATTAGGTTATTCGATTGTTTAACAGTAACGTCCATTTTATTGTTATGGCTATTATTGTTTATTCAAATAGTTTACTTAAATATTATTTGATGATTATTATAGTATATTTTATGAAATAAAGGACATTCTAGTTAATGAAACAACTTTGGTTAATTTGACAAAACACGATAGTTATTATTATCATAAAAAAAAACACTGCACTGAAGACACACATTTACACATGCTTACACAATCATGATAATTATAAAAAGGTCCTATTACAATTAAAAATCTTAATCAGAAACCTCATCGTGACCAGATTCAATATCACAAAAGCTTAAGTTTCTATAAAATGGTTGATAATGGTGGGGAATTGCTTGGGAGTTACACAGGCATAGGAGATCATTATACAAAGCTTTTTTAATAGGGAGGAGCTTGTCGTATGCTGGCTTTAATTCAATACTTTCAATTGTTTTGGACACCTGTATCTGCCGACGCTGTCTACTTCTGCCTGCATCGTAATCCAATTCAAAATAATCCTGATCAAAATCATATTTGAAAAGAAAACAGGTTTACTGTATGACACACTAACCCCCATCACATCGGACCATCTTACTTTTTCTCCTGTCTTATCTTGAAGCCATCTTTTGGGTTCAACAAGTTCTTTTATGTTGAGGATTTCAGATTGTTGCATTTTTTCTAGGATATATTGGTCACCGGAGACTTTAGCGTTCATGATGATACTATATACTTGATCCGGTGTGTACAAAACTTTGTTTTTCAGAGCTCTTTGCCCACAAAAAACCGATGGGTAATGTCAATTTGAAGAGTCATTGCAATGTT